CCCCAAAACCCCAAAACCCCAAAACCCCTCTCTTCTAACTCAGCTAAATTTTTGATAAATCTAATAATCAAACTTTCATTTTAAATTTCATATTTTTCTGTAGGGTTCTCTAATAAATAATTAGCTTACTATTGCTGCTGTGAAACTCATTCCAATAAATATTATTATTGAGTAAGGTAGTGGTAAATCAATAGCAAAAGGAGCAGCTATTGCGACTAATCTTCCACACAATTACATTACACCAAATGTAATGCAAATGAAAGATGTGTGAAAAATTCCGAATGTCATCAGATATATACAATTCAAAGCACATCCGTTTGCAAATGTTCCAAGAATAATAAAAATCTTAATAACTTAATCGTTGTCAGTGAATCCAATAAGTAATGCTGCAAATGAACCTTATGCCAAGAATGCATAAGTAGTAACTCTTTATCCACCCCTTGCTAGATAAATAAAGGCTGACAGTATTAGAGATAGAGCTTCAGCATTTGCAGTTATGAAGTAATCCACAAAAGTATCTCTCTCTATAATATTGAGTGAATCTTGCAAAACACTCGCATTAAACAAGTTAACACACCAACATATCAGAAGAGATATGAAGTTAAGTCTTTAAGAATTCGATTTGAATACATCTGTAAATCTCACAGCATGCTTATTTTTAATCTAGAAATCTGGATCATTATTTTATGTTTCTAATATTTCAGCACCTTCAGTCTGCATTACTGCGTCAGTTCCTCTCCTACTTTATTTTCCCCCAAGATTTTCCTAATTTTCAGAAATCCACATATTTGGATCAGGTACCTAATTCATATAATCTTAATTCTTTTTTTTGCTAGATAATTTGAACTAAATCATGCTGAACCTCTTTCCATTTACTCTGGCTATTGAATTAAAGACTCTATAAGCATCGTAATACTAACCTTTAGAAATAAGATATCTAGGGGATTCTGGAATCCAAACACCCCCAATAAATGCAATTACTGTTATTATAACACCTATTAATTCTAATGGAATCCAGTGCTTTGACAAAAATGAAAAGTATAAGCAGGCAAAAGTTACTGATTAAGTTATTACAAAGAACGCTAATGATAATACTAGTGGTCTATGCTTCTCTTGACACATTTCACTCAGATATATGTATCCAATAAGAAATCTTGCTGGCTACTCAATTCCCATCAGAAATATGATGGCATAGAACAATTTGGGCTCTCTAAGAATAAGCATAGTTGCTGATAGAAGTATATGGATTGCTAATCCTATCATATAAGTCTTCTTTCGACCAGCGATATCACCTACTCTAGGAAAAACTAAAGTTCCAATCACCAATCCAATTATAAAGCAATGATGAAAGAGATCAACCTCAGTATCAGAGAGGCATTCAAGATTCAAAGTAGTAAACCAATTATCTAAACTTTCCTTAACAGAATAGTCTACTCGGTATTTAACATCTTCCCGAGGTTTATTTTCACTGCTACAAAATGCACTTTGATTGCAACTTTTCCATTGTAAGGTAAAATCATCCTAGCATTCATATTTTGGCGGCTGCTAGAGTAAGAACATACATTAATTTATAAGAGCTGAGCTCGAGACCCCTAGAATCATGAAAAACCAAATGAACCATTGATATCTTCCAAATCCTCCAGCCTTATTAAAGCAATGCTCAGCCAGTACTCTTTGTTATTTTATATTAGTTTCAAAGTCAAAAGGCAAATAGCTTCTTAAAATCTAATTATTCCTTTCATAATCATCATCATCATCTGGATTTATTAGAGAATTGAAATCATCTCTATTGTTTATTGATGTTAAAAACGGTGATGGTGGCTCTTGACTTTTCATTATAGATTTATAGGATATATTACAGATAATTTAAAATGCTAATTAGTTGTCCTAGGGGTTTTGGGGTTTTGGGGTTTTGGGG